AGATGCAGCTGCAGCCAATGGAGACTCTGATGATATGTTTGCTGCATTCTCTGGAAGTTTTACTGAAGGTGCCTCACATGAAGAAGCAGATACCTGTGGTGTTGCCATTGATGATGTATTCATCCTAACATCAAAACAAGTCCTCAGAGTCATTATAGTATCTTACTATGCTTGAAGACTATACTCTCTAATCTGCCTTTAAATTTAAGGAATGAACTTTCTCAGCAATAGGTGCATAGACAAATGTAAATAGTGTTGGACACCTTCCTTGTTGAATAATCTTTTACATGTTGAAAAACTACACATTCTTGAAATTTGGTGACAGCAATCAATCCATTTTCTAGTTTAATGGAATTGGAACATATTGTTCAAGACTACTTGAACAAATGTTGGTACTTTGTCTGCTGCTGAGATGGTGTGTCAGGATAGATTTCATGGACATTTCATTTTCTTTATCACACCTCAACATATTATTCCTTGAGATGTAAGGAATAGCATATGCAGTGAGAGATAGGGAACAAGAAAGCAAAGTTCCACACATTCTTTTCAGTAGCAGTAAGTGGAGTTACCAGCCGTTAAATAATGTGGGAACTAAATTCTGACTGTCCAATCTGTTGGCATTAACTTTGCAAACTGAACTATCATGGATCATTTCTAGTTAATCATTATACAAATTCAGACAATAATTCAACATACTGAGATTCAAATCATTTCAAATTATTTTAAAATTATTTTGTACGAAGATATAACACAAAAATATGTTCTTATGTGCAGTATAATGTTCATACATAGTATACCCAATCAAACGAAGGTAAATATCAAAGTTATACCAGATACATTAATTATTAATCATTTAAAACAGTTCTCTAAAACATACATTTTTAAAGAATGTTTTACCAAACAATTTAACTGCAAGACCTGTTACATAAATGTATATTTAATGAACAATAACAAGGCTATGTTAATGAGTAATAATAAAGGTACCTTCTATGGTAATAAAGTAATGAAAACTGATGCAGAATCCATAAAAAGTTTTGTCTGCATGGGGATACTGCTTGTTAAAGAGTTTTAAACCTAAAACTAATAAATCAATTACATGAAAATATAGACCTCAGTGACCGAATTTTTAATTATAGTAATAGTGTTGTAAAATAATGATAAGCAATCATTTATATGAATATGTAAAATAATAGTTTTATTACACTTCCTTCAAACTTGGATAAATTTTATAATCACATGTGTTGATTGTTTTGAAACTTTATGACACAAGTCAGTTAATGCACATTTTTTGCAGTGCCTGGCGATCATAAAGCAATATATTATTTATATTTCATTTCACTGCGTTGCACTTTTCTTTTTTCCTACACTCGCATGTTGGCCTATTCATTTTAACAAGCCATTCCTTTGGCTTGCAAACGGCTGCGATTTTTTACTTTACATAAATTTCTTTCACATCTGTTTAAAGGCCTGTTGCTTTTTAGTTTCGTTTACACTAAACACGCGTGAAACTTTTGCAATGTGATGAGGTCATTATAAGGCATTTAAATAATTTTTGAATTTCGATAAATATACTTTCTTGATGCAATCTGTACTACTCGAATCGTTCGTTAACGGCGTTTACGCTTTGTTCCGTATGTCACTTTATCAGTTTTGCCCCGAAATAAATGAACGGTGTAAGGAATAAATGTACTTATCGAAAGAATATGTACTAAACTATTACTGAAGACGATTTCCTGCCGTTTTCCACAACTTATTTCTGTGCAAACAAAATTTCATTTTAATCAGGCTATAACGGGAGGAACGATACCTTCAGCAACACATTATCCCATGTATAGAGTCCGTCGCACGAGAAAAGAAACTTCGTGACTACAAAATGATAATATAAAATTAATTTAAAAGTTGAGAAAATTTTTGAGAGCTTCAAAACTAATTACAACTAACAGTTTCAAACGATTTTCTTCATATTATTTTTTTAAAAGCGGCCTTTGATAACGAAATGAATGCTACATACCTTCATCGGATGGCGGTGCCACGGGCTTACGCTCTGTCTCCAACATGAAACAGAAGGCAGTGGATAAGGTGTAGGCCTTATTGACGTCAGTAGTTTCTCCAAGCTACGACTGTTCTACAAAGCGCGCCAAACACGCATTCTCGGTAAAAATGCAAAGAATATTATATACGGACAGGAATTCGAATATTTCAGATATTTTTTAGTCCCTGAGAGGATTCATGCAAAAGAAATCGATTTAATTTGCTCCATGCTTCAAGACCTATTGTAGTGTCACCTCGATAACGAATGACAAAATCAATACCAATGGCCAGATTTAATTTTCATCTCGAACCAGACCTACTTCTATATATAATTGTTGCCTGAATATCTATGCTGGTAATCCGTGTTTGTAGTGTAAAGATGAGCGTTTTCTGTTGTCATCGTTCAGTACTCAGTATAAGAACTTATTGCGTAGAATTTTCCCATATTGTGGATTTCATATTTTGTGGTTGTAACTGTGAACAGATGAAATATGTGGAATAAAAATGTCGGTTAGGATATTTGTAATATCTTAGAATGAGGATAGTCAGCAATTTTAAAATTACAAATATAATGTTACAAAATTCATGTCGTAGTAAAAGTACCTGCTTCATATTGTAGATGTCACGCCAAACTTCAAACAAACGTAACACATTGTGCTAGCAGTTTTATAAAACGAAGGAGTGAAGGCGGCGCTGAATTCATTATTCTTGACGTCAGAAGTTAGTGATATTTTATACTGAAACCTCTTTTGTTTACATAATGCTTATTATATGACATCGTCGGCATTATCTCATATTTAAGAAGTATTATATTATATATAGTTTAATGTATTCATTCATTTGAAGGATTATATAAAGCGTTGACAATTTGTCGGATTTGTTTTTGTTTAGGTGATCAGCTGATTGGCCTTGGACGAAGTTATTGAATAGCTTTATTTTAGAACATCGAGCTAAGGTTCTTGAAATTCACACCATTTCTTCGTTTTGAAAAAATAGAGCTTGAAGTGGTTTCGACTGTTATCGCGTTTTAGGGTGTTTAAAGTTTTGACTCCGTACGCATGGTAAACACAGGATTTGCAAGTGGATAGTTGCTCTGCCTTTAGACGTACTTTATGCGTATTCTGAAACGTTCTGTTTATTGTATAGTGGTATTTTAGTATCTAGAACGCTTCTATCCAACATATTTTAAAAGGGTTTGGTTTGCCAGTAAGGAAATTTCAAAGTATAAATTGTTTTGTTGCGACGCAGCGAAGTAGTTCTCCGCCATTTTAGCCTGTAACAGTTTTTTCCACTTACCACCTGAATTGCAAAATATTTGAAGTAAATTTGTAAATAACTGTGTTATAAATTCATTTTGTTAACTTTTATACGTATTTTTAAACTGAAGGCACATCAAATTAAATTGGGCATAACCTAAAATATAAGTACCAATTTCTATTACGTGTAAACTTTTACAATCTATTGTAATATTCCTAAGATCGACCTTGTATTGCATTACTCAGATACAGAACTAACATATAATATAAAAATTAAGTTAATCTGCTTTTCAGTTGTGATGACATAACTTGTCTTAATCTAGGGCCACGTAGTCTATCTAACGATAGTTAATATTTTCTTTAGTCTTAACTTTGTGCATTTTCAGTAAGTCATGTTATGGCAAATATGAACAACCCAACGAATTGTCAGGCAAGTGTGGTTCTTGCCGAAGAAAAGGCAATGAACTTGTATTATGTGATTATTGTAATTGGTGGTTCCATTGGGAATGTGTCATCACACCTTTTAGTGATATAGATGTAACTGAGCCATGGTTTTGTTTGATGTGTAAACAGGCTAGGACACTTAGGGTACAGGGGAAATTATTATGGGTCTGCGAAGGGAATTGGCTTTGGCATGTGATGGGATTGATAATTTAAAAGCAGAAAAGAGCTCTAGTATTAATTGTAACTGTTCATCCACTCATTGGACAGACATTAAAGTCAAATTGCGATACAGAAACAAAGGTCTTTGCTGCAGTGAAGATCCAAACTTTAAGGTAAAACAGGGCAACAGATTTGAGGTTCAGACTGTCGGAACCTCAAGGAGTTGCTCAATTAAAGAAAAAAAGAGGATCTTAAACCTGATGTAAATAATAATATGAACTGTAGGAAGGTCCAGCTTCTAGGTAATAGTCAATGTAGAGGACTACATGAACATCTTCACTCAATCCAGGGGGATGAATACATGATTACAAATGTATTCAAACCCAAGCTACACTTGACAATGTTGTTGGGGAACTTGGAACAGTAAGTAAGGAATTAAGGGTGATTATGTAATTATAGTATAATAGCATAGATAGAATTCTGAATTATAAGATTGAAAATGATAGGACAACATTGCCAAGAATAGCATTCATACCAATGTTGGTTTGGTTGGCTTTCTCAAGTGTCACGACAGGCAAGTGGGTGAGGAGTGCAAATATGAGACTTGAGCGTGCACTTTGGAATGCAGACAGATCACATATTGGATTAATTGATGTATCATCCTTGAATAGGAATGACCATACCAGACATGAATTACACCTTAATTCAGATGGCAAGGAGAAGCTTGTGCAACTCATTGCCAATGAGGTTAGGTGCAAATCAGATACTGGTAAGATACCTGTAATCACTGGTGTAAGATATAGGCCTTTTTAGGTTTAAGCCTAAATCTGTCACTAAGTACCTGAAAGATGTCCACATTAGTATAAATATGCCAGTTATAAATTCAGAATACAATCAAGATAACAGTTTTGTGGTATACCTTCAGAACAGTAAAGGACTTTCAAACAAAATTGATGAAGTATCAGTGTCCAGTAATAATACGTACACACCCCATATTCTGTGTTTAACTGAACACTATGAAAATACCAGAGATCTTACAGGTCAATCTTGAAAATTATTCTTTGGGAGCTAATTACTGTAGACAAAACATGGCAGAAGGAGGAGTGAGTATTTCTTTCAAGAGAATCTAAAATTTAATCAGTTAAATTTACTGTGTAATTGCAAAGAACAAGACACAGAATGCTGTGTTGTGCAGTGGGAATCTAAACACTCCAACATATATATCCTAGCTATTTGTAGAGCTCCCACAGGTGATTTTGAAGTTTTCTTAAACAAGTTAGAAAGCATTTTAAATTATCTTTATAGACCTACAGCAGAGTTTGTCATTTGTGGTGATGTTAATATTAATTGTCTTCCTGAAAGTTAACAGAAGCAATTTCTAAACTCCCTACTAGCTTGCTTTTAATCTCATATCAATAGCAATTCAAAATTAGTAAAGTGCTGCTCTTTGACAGTGTTTTGTAGACAGTTACAGGAAAGATCCTATTTCTATTAAACCAGTGATAAATGGGCTATCTGATCATGATGCACAACTTCTAACTAACTAACTAACTAGATGGCTTACCGAACCCGAAGGTTCATCACCGAATTAACCAAAGCCCTCCACTGGACCCTGTCCTGGGCCAACAAAATCCAGTCCCCTTCAACCCCTATCTGACATTATCTTCCCATCTATGTCTAGGTCTCCTGAGCGGTCTCTTCCTCTCAGGCTTCCCGACCAATACCCGGTGCACAACTCTTCCCACATCCATGTACGCCACATGCCCCGCCCATCTCATTCTTGACTTAATCACCCTGACAATACTTAGGGAGGAATATAAATTTTTAAGCTCATTATGCAGTTTTCTCCATGCCCCATCCTCTTCTCTCCTAGGCCAAAATATCCTCCTCAACACCCTATTCTCAAACACCTGCACTCTATGTGCCTCCCTGAAAGTGAGAGACCATGTTTCACACTCATACAGAACAACAGGCAAAATTATTGTTTTGTATATTTTAATCTTCAGGTTCTTATAAAATAGACGGGAAGACAAAATATTTTGAAGTGAAAAGTAGCAAGTATTTCTGAAATTTAGTCTCCTCCTAACTTTCTCATGAATATCATTTTGATTTCTTATTGTTGTTCCCAAATATTTGAACTTCATCACACTTTCAAAGGATTTATTAAACACCCTAAGACAATTCTAACTAATACTAACATGTACCTAGTTTTTTTCTGAATTTACCTGTCTACTAGCCTCTAGTAAAACTCTTGTCTTCCTCTGTATTGTATTTATATCGTCACCCAGTAAATTAACATCATCAGCGTGATGTGTCCCATTCAGTTGCAAACCTTCCTGCCTATCTTGGACTTCCCTGATGGCATATTCTAGCTCAAAGTTAAAGAGCAATGGAGACAAAGCATCTTGTTTGAGACCGTTCTTGACGGAAAATTACTCGGTTAAATATTTACCTACTCAAATTTTGCTACAGGTTTCATTTAAGCACATTTTTATTAGACTCAGTAGTTTCTTTGGTATACCAAATTCAATGAGAATATTGTATAGCACTTCTGCCTTAACAGAGGCATAGGCTTTTTTGAAATCTATAAATAATTGATGTACTCCAATTTTTTCTCTAGTATCTGATGGATGCAAAAGATCTGATCAGTTTATCTGCTATGTCTGATCCCACACTGATGATCCCCGATAATTTAATTCACTTATGGAGTTAATCTAGCCAGGAGAATGTTTGATAGAATTTTGTACGAGGTTGATAGAGAAATTTCTCGGTAATTACCACACTCAGGTTTGTCCACCTTCTTATGAATTATGGATTCCTTCCATTGTTATGGCATCTCTTCCTTATCCCAAATTAACTGAATAAGCTTATGGATCTTCATATGTAACTTCTTGCCACCTGCTTTAATTAATCCTTCTGGAATTTAATCAATACCTGGAGATTTGTAACTTTTCAACTTCCCAATGTCTAGTTAAACTTCATCTAAACTATGGTCTGGCACTAACAGTTCAGCCGTATGTATTTTAATCTGTCTAACATCATCAGTCTCATGAACATTTAAGAGCTGGCTAAAGAAATTCTTCCACCTATTCAAAATTTTTATTGGATTTGCAAGCAAATTGCTATTATCATCCTTTACCAAATTAGTCTGAGGTTGATATCCTTTCTTAAAATTATTTATGCCTATGTACAGGTCTCTGATATTTTGTCCTAACTATTTGTTTCAAGCTCAGTATTATTCCCTTTTCTTATTCGTAAAGGTTCTACTGGCTTCACATCTCACATTACATAGCTTATACATATTCATTTTGTTTGGGTCCTGCAACCATTGAAATTTTGTTTGCTCCCTTCGATCTATTAATTTTGAACATGCTTCATCAAACCATGGTTTATTTTGCTTTCTCCTGTAGTATCCTAGTTCCTCTTTGGCTGGAGTTTTGATACAGTTTGTAACATTTTCACACTCCCTGTTGATATCCACACTTTCATTATCGTTATCTGTCTCTAAAATTTGAAACCTGTTCGAGATTTCAACTTGATATTGTTTCTTTACCTCTCCCTCACTTAAATTTTTCAAATCAAATCTTTCTGTGTTGTAATTTTGCTTAGTTCGTCTACTTACTGAAAGCCACTCCCTCACTCTTTCTTCTACCAGGTAATGGTCAGTGTCACAATCTGCTCCTCTGAATCACCTCTGATCATTTATATTTGTCTGCCTTTTTCATCTACTAAAACATTATCTATTTGTGTGTGTTACCTTCTGGAGAAGTCCAAGTGTATTTATGAATATCACGGTGTGGAAATTTTGTACTTTTTACAATTAGATCTCTTAACGTAGCAAAGTTTATTGCTCTAATACTGGAATTAAGCTATTCAATAATCTTCCTTCTCACTATAAAAAGTCTGAATCACGATATAACGAAGTTTTGCCCAGCACTAATAGAGTATCTCCTATCTCATTCCTTCTACATAGAAGAATTTACCTCAGCCAGGAATTCTCAGCTGTTATAAATGCATATAAGCAGTAGTGAGCATGCTTTCTTGTGTAATTATTTTTGTGGTGATATACTATAGTTGTCTGTAAATTACTGTTACGACTGTGTAATTTATACTTGTATTAGAAACAAGTATTGTATTTGTGCTTGGACATGTTCTACATCCTTGGCTTGGTCCTGTGAAGGATCTATGGGATGAAATTATTATTATTTTTTCTATTCTGTTCTAGGAAGTTTGTAATTAATCAGCTGTTTACAGTTTCATTCAAATCAAAACAGCCATTAGGAGTTACAGAGTACAATAGCCCATGAATAATGTACATACATAGAAACCTGTGTTTTCTCATGAAGGACAATAAACTGGAAGGTAATGTTTGTCACTTTGTTTTGCAGTTGCTGACATCTGATCTAGTAAACACTGCTTAGCAACAGTGCAGAGGAAATATTCAAAAATGGGTGGTGCTGTAAGTGCAGGAGAAGATAATGATGATCTAGTTGAGAATTTGTTGGAAGCACACTACATTAAAAGTCCTGATGTTGAGCGTGTTTTCCGGGCTGTCGATCGTGCTCATTATTTTACTTCCGCATTTCGAGAAGATGCTTATAAGGACTTGGCATGGAAAAGTGGAAATCTTCATCTTTCAGCACCTTGTATCTATAGTGAGGTGATGGAAAGTTTGCGGTTGTCTCCTGGACTCAGTTTTCTCAATCTGGGTTCAGGTACTGGTTATCTTAGCACAATGGTTGGTCTTATTCTAGGTATGTAAGTACCCAGTATTAGAACTTATTTATTCAAAGGTTTAAGTTGTGAAGATTAAGGAAGTTGAACTGGTACTAGATAGGTTTGGGCTTCATATGGTGATGAATCCCTGAGTCCCGTGTCAGTGTATATTAACAGTGTTAGATAATAGTTATAAATGTAAAATTTGTTGTCTGTAATTTCTGAAACCTACCACTTAGTTTTTTACTTGAAGGTCTAAAATACCCTTAATCACATTTCTTAGCACATCATTTCAATCTGTTAGAGTAAAAGGCTAGGTTTTCCAACAGAGTTAAAGTTGAGTTTTGTAATGCAAATGAGATACAGAACTAAAGTTAGTGGACGGTTACAATGATACAAGAGGAGACTTATTGGTCAGAGGTGGAGTGTAATATTTTATGGAAAGTAGTTAAGTAAATTTTTAACTGACTAAAATAATTTATTGATTTTTTATTGCCATTTGTTTTACATATAACACATTTTTATTTTTATAAAAGTAGTACAAAACTGCTATAGAATTAATCACTATAGCCTGGAAAATTGTTCCTAATGAATAACGTGTTCAATATGACCGCTGTTTTGCCTCACAACCTCTTGCAAACGAACCCTTGTGTTCGTCACCACTTTTCGACACAAGTCTTTAAATAGCGCATGGCACAACTGCACTATGTGGGCTCTGAGCTGCACTACATTTTCTGGCCTATTTTGGTACACTTTCTCTTTGAAGAAACCCCACAAGAAGAAATCACACGGATTAATGTCCGGGCTATGAGGCGGTCACATTTTGCATTGTGGGCAATGGAGGAAGAGGTCGTACTTCACAACACGTGGTTTACAGACGAGGCCTACTTTCATGTGAACGGTGTTGTGAATAAACAAAACGTTCGATTCTGGGCGAGGGAACATCCTCACATACTGCACGAAAAAGAAAGTTATGCGGAAAAAGTTAATGTATGGGCCGCAATTTCGAGTCACGGAATCATTGGTCCATTTTTCTTCGATGCAACCATTAACAAAGATCAATACAAAGACATGTTGGAAAACAGTTTTATCCCCCATCTCTTGGCAACAGGTCTCCCTATGCAAACACAGTGGTTCATGCAGGATGGAGCCTGTCCACACACTGTGAACGTGGTTCTTGATTTCCTGCACGAGACGTTTAATCTTCGTGTGATGTCGCATCGGTTTCCTGAACGTCATGAGGGCGGCAAAATGTGGCCGCCTCGTAGCCCGTACATTAATCCGTGTGATTTCTTCTTGTGGGGTTTCTTCAAAGAGAAAGTGTACCAAAGGAGGCCAGAAAATGTAGTGCAGCTCAGAGCCCACATAGTGTAATTGTGCCTTGCGCTATCTGAAGACTTGTGTTGAAAAGTGGTGACGAACACAAGGGTTCGTTTGCAAGAGGTTGTGAGGCAAAACGGCGGTCATATTGGACACGTTATTCATTAGGAACAATTTTCCAGGCTATAGTGATTAATTCTATACCAGTTTTGTGCTACTTTTATAAAAATAAAAATGTGTTATATGTAAAACAAATGGTATGACATTTCATGCGCCACTCTGTATATTTACTTATTAATAGGGAAATAATCTATTGCTCCAAATTAGAAAGTATATACAAAATCATTTTTCTGGTCAAGCTTTATCTTGATTGTTGTCTCATATTCATTTGTTTATTATTTGTGTTATACAATCATTTACATACCCTAGAAGTTTTGAGTGGGACAAGTTGATTATTCAAAGAACAGATTTTTCCTGATTCTCCATTCATAGTTCCATAGTCCATAGTAGAAGTCTACCAGACTACACGGCTCAACAACCCAGAAGACAGCCATCTTCATTGCTTGCTTCAATGCTTGAGCTTGTGAGGTAGGAAGGTAGGAAGGTGGCAGGATCCTCTGTGATGACATCAGCGTCCAATCAGACATGCGTCATTCTCCTCACCCACACAAAAATCACTGTCTCCAGACAACTCTGATATTAATTGTTCCATTTACAAAGGTTTTAGGTTTATTTCATCAGTTACGATTGAACTTAGGATTCATTGAAGACCAGACTAGTATACTAACAGCATCCTGGCTGTTAACAGTGGTCAAGAATAATACACTGTGTGTCCATTTCTTACTTTGTTATGTATGTCTTTATGTATAACAACTCATGAAGAGCTGAATGGATTTCATTAAAATGTGTTGGGGATTTATTTAAATTGGACAGTTTTTATTACTTTTATAAGAACATTTTCTTGAATTGAGGTTATCACGATATATCATTTTATACAAAAACAAATGATTCAGTTATTTTAGCTGAATTTTGCAACAGTTAAGCATTTAAAACAAATTTATTTTACTATCTTTTCATTTTTATGGTTATCAAGTCATGAGCAGTGTTCTTCCAGTATTTTATCTGACAAAAGACATCATGGTAAATGGACCAAAAGTGTCATGGTGTGCATTCATTTACAAATTTGTTTAAAATGGATTTAAAATAATGTGACATTTATTTAATTGCAATAAATTAGTAATTACAAGGCTAATTCATGAAGTCTTAGCTATATATCTTATTATTCACAAACAAATGGCACATATTGTAATTCAGTTTACATGCTATCCACTGTACTGTTACTCAAATACATCAGCTTAAGTTTTAAACTTTGTTTTCTCTCTGATCTACTGATTTATGGTTTATCAGAAACTGGAGATGGATGTCATCTGGGTTGTAGTGCCAAGTAGTCTGGTAGAAGTTTACCTTCAGATGCATTGCCGTGAAAACCTCAAATCCTACTTTTCAGAAACTGACTTGAGATAAGAATAGCGTAATTTAAAACAAGCTCGGAAGGTGTATTCCATACCGGAATACACACTATTCTTATGCATTCTTTACAGTGTGCATTTAGAGGTATTTAATCCATCTTGTGCAATAGTTCCCACTTTGTCCACCAGATTGCAGCACCTCAGTGTATGCCTCACAACTTTTCTCATACATCATTTTGTAATCACTGCTTATAGGATATTCAAAAGTATGATTTTGGGGTCATGCAGAATAGCACTATCTCCATATAAAATTTCATTCAAATCTGTCCAGCAGTTTTCAAGTTCCATCGATTGGACAGATGGACAGACATGACCAGCCCATAATGCATTCATGCAAAGAATGCATAATAGGCCTTCACTGTGTTCTTTATTCTTTACAAAGCCTGCATTCCTGTTATTATATAAATCTTGTGTTGTTATTGCTACAAATGCAGCATTTAAGTAATGTGAATTTATAAGCTAATAATGAAATATAATTTAGATCATGGACTGGCATGTGCACAGATTGTCATATGTTCAAATCATGGTCGAGTTGGGATTTTTTTATTTGGAGTTTTATATATGTTACACATTATTGTTATAATTAGTATCAGTATTATATATTTTCTTGAAATTGTAAGTGTTAAGTATGGATTGATGTTTGTGAGATGTTCCCTGATGTGGCAGTTAATTATTATTTACTTGTACCAGCAATTGGAATGCACCTTTATTTAACAATTTCCTTTCTTTTGTAGGTTTACCATTTTGCAGGTTTCCTAATATCAAAGAAGTGTACATTCTGTTTTCCAGGTCCATATGGTACTAATCATGGTATTGAAATTCATGAAGATGTTGTAAATTACTCAAATAAAAAGCTTGAGGAATTTAGGAAGATATCCCCAGCATTGGATGAATATGAATTCTGTGAACCGAAGTTTGTAAAAGGTATCGTAATGGGAGAAGTGGAGCAGTTTTTAGAATTGAGTTGTTGTAAAAGTGCTGTTATGTATTACTAACTACCAGAGAGAGTTTTCATCTGACATTCTCTTTGTAGGAAATTGCTTATGCTTGAACAGTGATGTGCGGCAATATGACAGAGTCTACTGTGGTGCTGCATGTCCAGAAAATTATGAGAATTACATGAAGAATCTCATAAAGGTGATGAATAAATGTGACCAATTTCATCAAGTGATTTTTTTATATATATCTATGTTTTATAAATCTGTAGTAGAGTTCTGAAAAGAATTTTCATCATATGGCTTACATAATTTATTTATTTTGCAATTAACAAAGTGACTAGCAATGGGCTGGGTAGCTGGGGTTCAGTTCCCAGCAGAGGCAGGTATTTTTCTCCTTGCCACTTTGCTTAGACTGATTCTGGGGTTCCTTCAGTCTGTTATCCTGTATGTAATACAGTAAAACCTCTCTAAGTTGGACACTTGGGGTTCCACGAAAATGTGCCCAACTTACAGAGGTGTCCAAGATAGAGGGAAAGAGAAAAACCCGATTGTGGTCCAATGACTATATAATCTATTTACATACACTAACTATTGTATTCTTACTTGAATTAAGAATTAATGACAGTAGTATTAATAATAATCTTTTGAAGCCCACTCCCATTCATTGCGCATTACACCCCAGCCTCAATAACATTTTCTAAAGTTAATTCCACCAATTTTCGCTTCCCCATCGCAAAACGAAAAATTCCAGTCTGAACTTAAATGCAAGCACAGTACTGATGGAGTTAAAACTATGTCTTCTGCAATACTGTAGTCCAGCTAAGGGTTCAGCAAAAGAATTGTTAAACACTTCCAATGCATTCCAATGATGGGTTCAATGTCCATAAGATAATCCTCCAGAGAGGAGGCATTCATCAGTCAGAAATTCAAAGTAACAAAATATGTAACTGAAAAAGTTTTCCTGAAAAGCGTCAAAGTTAAGTGCATGAACCTGTCCAACTTAAACAAAAGGGGTGTTCAAGTTCCAGGATAAAGGGGTGTCCAATATATAAGGTATTGTTGACATGTAAAATTATAGGATGTTTGCCGGTTCCAATTAAAAGTGTCCAATTTAAAGGGGTGTCCAACTTGAGGGGTTTTACTGTACAACTACGTGATGTTACAAAATCTTGCTTGAACTACTTGTCATCTACCATGTTTAGACTACTCTGTTTTATAGATACCTTCATGCTAGATAAAAAGCAAGTAAAAAAATTCATAAAATTTTGCATGCATAACTGTATTTGGCTGTAAATATACATGTGGTACTAATGAAAAAAGTTGTCCAAGTCCAGTCTTATGCTGTTTGTCAATTAGTAACATTCATAATATTAACATGATATATATAGTATTGAACATAGGAATGCAGTTTTATATTTTTTCTTCAGCAGTAATGTCTTCTTTTAACTTTCTCTTAAACTGAAGCTTCTTTTGAAATAGGTAGGAGGTGTACTTGTCATGCCATTGAATGATCAACTGCTGCAGATTGTTCGAACTTCAGAAACCACTTGGGATGTAAAGTCTGTATTGCCAGTTTCCTTTGCAACCCTCCTGTTGCCTGAAAAAACAGAGGTGAAAGATCACATAACGTTACGTAAGTAGCAAATGTTTTGTGCATTTTACTTTTTATTTTTGAAGAATATCTGTCACATTGCACCTGAATATCTGTAAGTACAGAATTCTCTTATTGAGTCTTGTGAATCCGGTATTTACCAAAGTCACTTTCTATAAGAGCTTTTATAGTGTTATCTTCCAGACAGCTCCTTGGCCTTCAAACACATCATGTTCATTACAATTGGTACAGTGAAACCTCTGTTTAAGATTTCTTTGCAGGACAGTAGATTTGAACATTAAAATGGGGAGATTCTTTAATGGGAGAACTTTAATTCTAATTTACAGACTTTGGATCATTTAAATTTCCCTTAAACAAGTAAAAATCTTAAATTTAGGAACATTAAATGATTATGCCACTTTATTTGGGAGTTATACATCTGAGTTTATGGCATGTCATCATCTGTCTAATTTTTATCCATATTTCTTTGGACTATGAGATTTGTATGCAGCATTGCGTATTTAATAAATTTCTGGGGAAAATATGCAATCTAATAACATGATTTATACCCTTCACCTAACATGTTTAAATGGTTAAATCAGAATGGCTATGATGTGCTAAACAGTTGGCCTAGTTGGGAGACAAATGCAGTGATAATTTTTATGGAGAAACCTTTTGGAAGACCAAGGCAGAGTTTAGAAGATAATGTTAAAATGGATTTTAATTAAATATTTTACATTGGATTTCATCAGTTTAAACTTGCATGGGATTTGGTGAATTTGTGGGCCTCGTGGTTCTGACAGCAGAGAGTTGGTAAACATTACTGTTGAGAACATGGTTCTTGTGCAGAGGCAAATTTCAGATATTTCGGTATAATTTGTTGTTTGTCAGTCAGGTAAATTCCTTAAGATTATCATTCTGTTTTGTTAATTTACGATATGGTAGGTGGAAGGTGACTACATTGTAATCACTTCATTCTGAATAACTTGTTTCATGGTTGTGTTACAGCTGAAACTGAGCCATTATCACTACAGGATACATGTAGATCATCAATTCGCATTATTTTACGCCATAATGTGGAGGTAGAACATCCCAATCTTAAGCCTAGGCAAGTAAGAATTCCAAAGAAGAAGAGTGTGAAGAAGAGAACACGTCAATCAGTTATTCCTATTTTTGAAGAATCGGATAATGATGAATTTGGTATAGGAGCTACAGATGATGAAGATGGAGGAGACAGAAATCTTGGGAGAGCTTATGTAATCTATCATGTTCAGCGTCAACGTGCTGGCCATATCACTGCTGCAAATGAACTGGCACAAAATTTGGCTTGTCACAGGCGCTCAGTCAGGGTGCAACAGCAACAGCAGGAACAGGAACATCATCTTAATGACAGCAACAACACTGTCATTCAGCAGAGAGAGGATGAAAGGATGGAAGAGACTGTAGATACATTTCCTGATCAGGAATTTGACATTAGAAATACTGAGTCCATGGAAGCTAAAACAGTTC